TCGGGAGCGGCCACTGCATTCCAGTCTGGGTGACAGAGTGAGACTCCAACTCAAAAAAAAAAAAAAAAAGGAATCTGAAAGGATACTGATGATGGTGTGTAAAGCACCAGGCACAGTCGCTAGTGTTCACTCATGGCCACCCAATGTTCATCCTGCCCCTGTTCCTCACACTGGGTTCATCTCCTCCTAGAACTCCAGGGTTGCTCTGTCCAGCTCAGGTGAGTCAGGAGGGCAGGAGGAGAGTCAGCGGGACCTGAGGGAGCAAAGGGCTTTGAGGCGGAGTTGTTCAGCTCCCTATGACCTCCACCCCTTTGTCTCCACTCCTTTGTACAATGACACACTGAGGGTCACATGAGGAAACGTGTACATTTGATACAACGTGAATGATGTAAGAAACATAAGCTCCCTCAGGAAAGCAACCCTACCTTTCACCAATACATCCCTGAGCTGGACAGAGCAACCCTGGAGTTCTGGGAGGAGATGGACAGGGGCAAGATGAACATTGGGTGGCCATGAGTGAACACTAGCAACTGTGCCTGGCACTTTACACAGGTAGTGTGATCCTCACAGCATCATTGTACAGATGAAGAAACTGAGGTCCACAGGGATCATGTAATTTGCCAGGAGGTTGATGTCAAGATAAAGATTGCTGGAGGCCGAGCTCGGTGGCTCAGTCTATAATCCCAGCACTTTGGGAGGCCGAGGTGAATGGATTGCCTGAGCCTGCAGGTTCGAGACCCACCTCGGCAACTTGACAAGACCTCATCTCTACAATAAATCAAAAATTAACCAGGCGTGGTAGTGCGCGCCTGTAGTTCCAGCTATTTGGAAGGCTGAGGCGGAAGGATCACTGGAGCCCAGCAGGTTGAGGTTGCAGTGGCCGGGAGCAGCCATTGCACTCCAGTCTGGGTGACAGAGTGAGACTCCAACTCAAAAAAAAAAAAAAAAGATTGCTGGAAGCCCCTGGAATCTGGGGTGATAATCCGATAAGAGGGAGAGAAAGAAGGGGAGAGGCTTGAGGAGATTCATGAGAGTTATGAACTGAGATGAGATTTAAGAATATAAGACTTCAAGGTTGGTGCAATTCCAGATGGAGATAAGTCCTGGGGAGCTTTTATGGGAGGGATCGTTAGAATTGAGAGTCAAAGATTGTTGACTGACCAGAAGTCAAGGAACTGACTGCCATGGCATTGGATGGGTCACTTATGTGGATGTCCAAGTTAAACAGACAAGACTCAGGATCAAAAGGAAGTCTGGGAAGTTGGAATCAAAACACTTTGCGAATTCTAGAAAGGGATTTGTAGTGTTATGGGGAAAGCCAGGGAGTGATTGATATGCCCAGTCTCTTTGAACCTCAGAGATAGGAAATATTCTTAGTGAAAGGACAGGATGACAGCAAAGCCTGATGCCTCAGGCCTGGATAGAGCCCACAAACCCTCTCACTCATTCACACACATATTTGCTGAGCACCTACTGTGTGTCAGGCACTGTACTTGGAGCCAAGGGGTTCAAAGAGAGGTAAGATGAGACAGACTGTCTGCTCAGCAACCCTCAGTCATCAATGAAGAAAACATAAGCGAGTAAACAGCATTCTTAGAAAAACTGTAATTGAGATAAAATATAAATTGTGGCTGGGCTCCATGGCTCAGCCTGTAATCCTAGTGCTTTGGGAGGCTCAGGTGAGTGGATTGCCTGAGCCTGCGGGTTCGAGACCCGCCCAGGCAACTTGGTGAGACCTCATCTCTACAATAAATAAAAAAATTAGCCCGGCATGGTAGCGCGCGCCCGTAGTTCCAGCTACTTGGAAGGCTGAGCCAGAAGGATCACCGGAACCCAGCAGGTCGAGGCTGTGGTGGCCGGGAGTGGCCACTGCACTCCAGTCTGGGAGACGGAGTGAGACTCCAACTGAAAAAAAAAAAGATTATATATATATATATA